AGAGAAGGCAGAGTTACTGAATGCCTTCTTTCCTTCAGTCTTTACTGCTAAGACCAGCCCTCAGGAATCCCAGACCCTGTAGGTAAGAAAGGAAGTCTGGAGGGAGGAAGACTTTCCCTTGGTCAGGGAGGTTTGGGTTAGAGATCATTTAGGCAAACTGGACACCCACAAATCCATGGGATGCTCCCACAAGTGCTGAGGGAGCTGGCAGATGTTATTGCTGAGCTGCTCTCCATTATCTTTGAAAGGTCGTGGTGAACAGGAGAGGTTCCCGAGGACTGGAGGAAAGCCAGTGTCACTCCAGTCTTCAGAAACGGTGAGAAGGAGGATCCGGGAAACTACAGGCCAGTCAGCCTCACCTCCATCCCTGGAAAGGTGATGGAGCAGCTCATTCTGGATGTCCTCTCTAAGCATGCGGAGGAAAAGAAGGTTATCAGGAATAGTCAACATGGATTCATCAAGGGGAGACCATGCTTGATCGAGCCAATAGCCTTCTGTGGTGGCATGACTGGCTGGGTGGATGAGGGGAGAGCAGGGGATGTTGTCTACCTCAACTTCAGCAAGGCTTTTGATGCTGTCTCACAACATCCTCATAGGTGAGCTTAGGAAGTGAAGTGTGGGACAGATGAGTGAACAGTGAGGTGGATTGAGAACTGGCTGAAGGACAGAGCTCAGAGGGTTGTGGTCTGTGGTGCAGAGTCCAGGTGGAGGCATACAGCTGACGTTGTTCCCCAGAGGTCAGTACTGGGTCTGGTCTTGTTCAGCTTGTTCATCGATGACCTGGATGAAGAGACAGAGCAAGTTTGCTGATGACGCAAAACTGGAAGGAGTGGCTGACACGCCAGAGGGCTGTGCTGCCGTTCAGTGAGACCTGGACAGGCTGGAGAGCTGGGCAGAGAGGAACCTGTTGAGGTTTAATAAGGGCAAGTGTAGGGTCCTGCACCTGGGGAGGAATAACCCCACGCACCAGTACATGATGGGGGCTGACCTGCTGGAGAGCAGCTCTGTGGAGAAGGACCTGGGAGTGGTGGTGGACAGAAAATTACCCATGAGCCAGCCATGTGCCCCTGTGGCCAAGAAGGCCAACAGTATCCTGGGTATCTGGGGGTGCATTAAGAAGGGTGTGGTCAGCAGGTTGAGGAAGGTTATCCTCCTTTGCCCCGCTCTGGTGAGACGCCCCCTGCAGGGCTGTGTCCAGCTCTGGGGCCCCCCCCCCAAGACAGACATGGACCTGCTCGAGCGGGTCCAGAGGAGGGACATGAAGATGCTGAGGGGGCTGGAGCACCTCCCCTGTGAGGACAGGCTTAGAGAGTTAGGCTTGTTCAGACTGGAGAAGAGAAGGCTCCAGGGAGACCTTAGAGCAACCTTCCCAGGGGGGTTGGAACTGCGTGATCTTTAAGGTCCCTTCCAACCCAAACCTTTCTATGGTTCTATGATAACCATTTTACCTTGCAACAGTATATAAACTGTTCACAGAATTGCACAACTGTAAAGGCTGAAAAGGAACTTCTGAGGTCATCTAGTTCAACCCTTGTGCTCAAGCAGGGTCAGCTAGAGCTCTTTGAGTATTTGATGTGTTGGTGTGTTCAAGGGCGATCAAGAGGACACTGCTTTGTTCTTGTGTGCACCAGAATTATTTTATTAATGTGTACTTCTGCTGGTTTATTAGTTGTTCGTGACAGCTGGGAAGATGTTTTTATGCATAATTAACTGTGTGAGTTTGTCTGTGTTTTTTTTTTTAAAATATAGAGATTGGCCACAGCTAGAGAAGGGAATGGAGGGCAGATGGTTACATCTAAGAACATGAAAAACTTGCTGATGCATATTTGGTTTGTCCTGTTTCCAAGGTCAGTGTCAAGCTGATCACTGGTTTCAGGGTTAGGAGATACTCTAGTAAGGGGCAACCCCAGGAACCATTGGAGTTTTTGTCTTCCTCCGCTGCAGCATGAGACAATAGCTGTATCCTAGGAATAGCTGAAAGTTTTATGTACCATCACCCTAATATTGATGCATTCTAGGCAGTTTGACCGGCTGAACAAGTATAAAACCTTCCTCTTTTTCTGTCCAACTCCTCCATTGTATCTGAAAATCTTTTCCATTTTGTGCATCCTCATTTATCTTGCTTCTTCATTCCATATATTGAAATTTTCTGTCGCCCACTACCTACAAAGCGGTTCTAAGAAACCGTTTCTCCCAGTTGCAGACAATTCTTTGTCCCAGATGTTGTCTATCTAAACAGACTAACATTAACGTTTACTACCTGATTGTCTCTGGTTTGACAGGAAAAGTAACAGTACTTTGGTCAGCAAACTGTGGATTCTACACACAGTGGTCTTGTGATCACTTGGAGAGCGTTTTTCTTCTGTGTATTTTTCTTCTGCATTGACAGGGCTGCACAGGCAGCTTCACTAGCATAATGGGATACCTATATCATATTAAAAAATGTGGGAAGGCTGCTTCTGAGCTGGAGAAAATGGCTATGAAGTGCCATCACTGTGGAAAAGCATACAAATCGAAGGCAGGACTTGTCTACCATCTCCGATCTAAGCATGGGCCGGTAAGTGCTAAATGCCATAGTTATCAGGATCGAGTGGTGGTACTTAAGCCATTCAGACTTGAGACACATGTAGGCTTTTGTCTGCTACTTTTTTAGTACTCTGTGCTACTAAATCTACTATTTAGTAGTGTCTGCTGCACAGTCTGCTACAGCCTGACTTTCGCTCCATGGAAGAATGATGCTAACACGTATAACTTGTGGGATGCTTTTCTTTCTCTTAAAAGACATTGGAACAGGCAGTACTATGCTTATTGTCCATGAGGATTTTAGAGCAAATGTTGCGATATCCTTTCGAGACCAGTGGCTCTGTGAAACTCTCTGCTTGAGCCATACTGCTGTGACCACCCTGAGTAGATTTGGGGGTCTCTCTTGCTAGTGGGATGCACTGCTGTCCTGTCTTGTGACACTGAACCACAGCTGCAGCAGCATTTTTGCGAAGCATTTGGCAGAATATTTATTCACACTATTTAGTGTAACTGAAATAGGAACTAGTGAAGGAGGCACATGTTTTTTGGCCTTCATTGCAGGTCACTTTCCTCCATGAGGAGAGAAGAACAGAGAGCCTGAAGGAAATAAAACGGGAACCAAACACCACAGGCAGAGTTCAGAGGAGATCTGCAAAGGTGGCAATCTACTATCTCCATGAGCTAGCTGGAGAAGAGCTGGCCAAAGAGTGGCCGAAGAGAAAAGTTCTGCAGGACTTGATTCCAGATGACCGGAAGGTAGAAGGCCTTAAAAATTCTGTATAGGGTTTGAGTCTTTCTTCACATCGGCTGAATCTTGCACTGGCATCTACCCAGTGTTGCCAGTGTTTAGTGGCCCATGGAGGGCAATACTGAAGAAGTAATACCTTGTGGGAGGGATCAGGTTTTACTCTCTCTGATCTTCGATTACGGTATTGCTACAGTAGCAGTTGCTGTGGTATAAGTATTTTAATCCATGCAGGCTATAATGACTTTCAAGTCCTGCTGCTGTAATTTTCAGTGGGCACAGGTAACAAAGGCAGTTATAGGCAGTAGGTTGCTCACAGGTCATAGGCTGCAGATCACTGCTGCCATGCAGTGATATTTCATAGTTATTCAGTCTTCAGAGTTTCCAGGAGCATCTTTTAGGCTGTAAGGGAAACCCAAGGGAGAAGGATGACTTACAATTTTAATGGGGTAAGTACATTTAGAGAAATTGTTGTAGTCAAAGTTACGGGAAATTTTGGATCCTGGTATTGTGGGGGTTTTCCGGATTCAATTATGTTTGTAGGGAGTCGGTGAGACAGGAAAAGATTGGTTATTGAGAGTTTGGCTGTTAGAGTAGGAGAAGAAATAGCATTTTGGTCTCACAACCTGGGAGAGAAAGGGGCATACCTGGCACTACATGTAGCCGACATTGCTTCCAGCTTTCAATTCCATCTCTTTATCTCAGCTGAAATACACTCGTCCTGGACTGCCCACATTTAGTCAAGATGTGCTGTGCAAATGGAAAACGGAGATAAAGATGTACCGAAGAGTCCACTGCCCAAATCAGGTAATCCTTAAGTGTTTCTGAAGCCTCAAAGGGGACAGATTTCAGGTCTGTATGAGCCAACAGCTTTCCACGACCTCGAAACTGCGGTTTGTCTCTCTGTCTCTCTGTGGGTGACAAATGCTGCTCCGTCTCAGTATGGTTGGTTAGTGGAACCAAGACCCTGTTTGAACTGTTGCCCTAGGGGTGATCCCTCTGGGATGTGTTTGTCCGCTTCAGAGCCAGTACCTTGGTGTTGGTCTGGTACGGCTTTCACATCCAGCTGGGAGGTGGTCCATTTGGAGGTCTGAGCAGTGGAAAAATGACAGGCCCCTGCCTGCCTGGCAGGTGTGCTAAATCTAATTATAGAAGAAGGGAGGAGTAGAGATGGCAATGCAAGAGTAGAGGGACTTTGTCTGGCACAGCACTTAAGTTTTCTTTTGAAAGCTTTTTTAAGGGCTACAGAATACTCGTGCATTGCACTGCTGTCTTGGTCTAGGGATGCTTATGCATGTGCACTTAGATTCTTACAATCCCATGCAGCAGTCACCAGTCAGATCCAGTGAAAGGAAATGTCCCCATTGGTGAAAACGATGGTAAGTGTGACACGTGTGACGCACACTGCTGGATAGCCAACGGTCAGTGGTGGCTTCCGTCTGGGTTTGGTGTAGAGACAATGCCTTCCGCCTGCCTTACCCCACCCCCAGCACCCTCTCCCTGTTTTTCAGGCTTACGTCATTTCCAAGTGTAAGGATTCCAACATAACATTGTATATGGAGCTGTCCCGAAAAGCAGCCGTCCTGTTTCGCCAGCCAGTAACCCAGAAGCGTGTCTTGCACGTACTTCCTGATTCAGGGTCTGGGCTGTTGGCTGAGCGTGATCTAGTATTCCAAGACTGATGCCTAAAGCTCCCCATGGGGTAGGCCTGTAAAGCTGCCCTTTAAGTGAGGCATTGATGTTGGATCAGTACTTCTGCTCTGTGCCACTAGATACACGAGCAGAGCAGGAGAGATTGAAGTGTCTTGTACTTGCCCCTGTGCTTGGTTTGAAATTCATCTCTGCTGCACTTTAGGCAAAATGCAAACTCTATCATTTTGCTCAGGCTTTTGATAGAGGGTGAATGTAGCTGTGAGAGGAGTCTCTTTATAATGTCTAAATGTGCTCAGGAATGAGAAATACTTAAACTTACTGAAAGCTCAAGTCTCTTTTAATGGTCTTTTTACCAGTAGCTTTCTGGCTTTGTAGGACTCAGTATCTCCCTCCCTCTACCTCTCTTACCCCTTTTGGAATTATCTTCCAGAGAATAAGACTTTCTTGTGCCGGAAGAAGTGATTTCTGACTAGAGATTTGCTGACACACACTTTTTTTTACTGTTTCAGGGTTGTGAATCTGTATACGGCAGTGTCTCAGGACTCAAATCTCACCTTGGCACATGTACCTTGGTTGGTAGCCTTCCTGTACTTTTATATCAATAGCCTGACCGTTCCTGTCCCTCAGATATCTCCTTGTTCAAGCTGTTGTTCTGCCATCTGCTAATCTGAGTTCCTCATGGTTTGAGTGCTTCCCTCTGTGCTAATGGGATTGCCATTGCAAACGCTGCTTGAGGCAAGGAGGAACCATCTTAATGGCGTGCATTTTAGTGAAACTGCAGTCCTACCTGTAGATTCAGAGCTACAAGAGCATTTTTTCCAGGTACAATGCTGGAGACCTTGTAACATCTAATAGAGCAGTCCCATGCTTTGTGGGTGTAACTGGTCAATAATATCACTGCTCCTGTAGCTTAAGCGTTGTCTAGTATGAATAAGAGCTTCTGCTTCTTACTGCTGGGTTGTATCTGAGCAAGACTCAAGTACAATATATAGGTATATCAGCCTTCTAGGCAGCAATTGGTAATGGATTTTTTTGTTCTGGTGCCAGGGAGACTTTGTGGCTGGTAAATACAAGTGTCTCCTGTGTGAGAAGGAGTTCATTTCAGAGAGTGGGGTCAAGTATCACATCAACTCTGTGCATGCTGAGGTAAGGCAGGCAGAATGGAGGTCCCCAAATCCCAGGTTGTTGGAGGTGGGGGAGGGTGTCTTGGGAAGGAAATGCTGGATGCTTGCCCCGTTTTATTTTTTCCTTGCTCACTGTTGCGAATGGGGTCCTAGACTCAAGTGGCCTTTGATTTGCTTAAACACAGCTGGTCTTACGCTCTGGTCTGGGGAGCAAGTGTCGTGTCGTGTCACATGTCTTGTCCCAAGCTGCTGTTGCTCAGTTCAGCTCTTCAGCATTTCCCATGCCGTTAGCCAGGCAGTTGCCAGATCAAGTCTGAATCCTCTGAGACAGAGTGACACCTGAGGAGGAACACTGAATAACAGAGCTTCGTTAGGCAGCTGCCTTTACAGATCTCACATTTCAGGAAACCCCTGTCCCACAAGACAGCTTTATTATAAGCCCTGTTAGGCTTTAAGTGGTATTTTCACCGTCAGTACCAACCTGTTGCCTTCTAAACCCTCCAGGACTGGTTTGATGTGAACACAACTACCACCAAAAGCTTTGAGAAGCTAATGAAAATCCGCCAAAGAGAAGAGCAGAGGAAGCAACGGAAGAAACGTCCTTTGACCCGGGGCAGAAAGAAGAGAACTGGGACCCTGGCTGCCAAGAAGCTCCCCACTGCTGGAGTTGAAAAAATGAGGAGAAGTAAGAGAGGTCGTCCACAGCGGGTGGACAATGAGAGCGCAAGCAGCGAGGAGGGGGAGCCCCAAGTTGCACAGAGAGCCGAATTTCCGAAAACCAGCCGCAAGCGGGGCCGAAAGTAAATCCCAAGAAGAGGAGGAGTAATCCTAAAGCTTTTCTGTTATAAGCCCCACTTCTGTCAGGCTCATAACCCACAGCCCTAACATAAGCAACTGAATGTCTTTGGGACTGTGACTCCATTCTGCTCAGTGACCTTGATTTTGAAACTGTTGCCTCTGGTTAGTTGTGAGAGACTTCAAACCAAAGCTGTGGTTCAGAGGCTGCCTCTCCTGGTGTACTTCCTTTGGACAGTGGCGCTAGCAGTGTACCCGGTGTCGTTCCTGCTCTGGTTACAGTCTCAGTGTGGGTCACATTAGTTGCTTGTTTAGTGGTTTCCAGTACAGCAGCTGTCTGTTTTGTCATCTTCCTCTGATGGGTGAGATCAGGGTTCTTTTTTAGCAGTTCTCCCTATAAGGGAGTGAGTATCACAGTGTTTAGGTGTCTTTAAGGGGGGAATCCTTTTTTGCACAGTATGCACGCAAACTTAGCAGCACTGTGTGGAATACAAAGGCTTTAGCTTGCCCCATAACTGTCCTGTCTGTTGTCAGCAGGGCTGCCACAGAAGAGCAAATACCTTCCTAGCGTATGCTCCAGTCTGTTGCACAAGGCACTGTCTCTCCTTCATACACTGATGTTTAGGCTCAGCACCAGATGGTAGCACATAAGCTCTGGTCTGCTTGGAGGTGACGGGACATCATTATTACCCTCATCAGGAACCCAGTATTCCCCCGGCATCTGTGTTCTGTAGCACTGGGCATTGAATGTATGTAGAGGGTCTTCCAGTCCAGTGAGGAATAAATACTGTCCGGCCTTTTGGAGGTTCACTGGCCTTTCAGAGACCTCCAGTAACTAATGTAATAAGATGGCCTTAGTGGGCCCTCTGAAGACCGCTTGTTTCAGACTCACCTGGGAAACAAACTTATTGCAAGTCAGTGCGTCTCTACAATAGCAGTCTTGCTAATGCTGAGACCCAGGTTCCATTGTGGTGTTCTTTGTCATGCCCATGCTCCCATAGTGTCCTTTTTTCCTGTAGACACCACCTTTGTTGTCTTCTATCACCTGTTTCTTTTCAATACTGCTTCCTTTGTGTGAATGAGGTATATTAGCAGTGGCTTCCCTTTGTGGAAAAAGTTAAAAGACGACAGTTCATTATTTTAAGTCACGTGTTGGCATGAACTCTGGATCATAGGGAATATTTTCCTGTGCTCCATAAATGCAGCAGATGTCATAGAAGCTAGTAGGGAGCAGCAGCACGGACGGTCCTACTCTGTCTTTCAGAGAATGGGTTCTCCAGAATTTCTGTTATCCGAAGACCCACTGTACCAGGAAGTTGCAAAATTTTACCTTTCCATTGCAGTTTTGCAGGCAAGAAAATAGGCAGCTGGCTCCATGTTACCTCCCTGTGAATTTTCACTGTCTACCAAAGTTGCTGGTGCCGACATTCACAGGGAAGCCATTGCAGGGCCTGGTGAAGAGGTGGGTTTATACTTATGTGTTTGTTATTACCAGAATAATCACATTGGCCCTGTTAGTGGGACGTGCTGTATGGCCAGGGTGTTCTCAGGAACTGCCTCTTCTGTAAAATAAGCAAAGCAGACCCCAGCTGAGCATGTCTTATCATGGGGATTAGCACCCGTATGGTAGTGAGACAGCATGCAGCGCTCCATTGCGGTGTACGTGCAGTAGTTACACTGCCTCTTGGAACCAGCTGTCACTGTGTTTGCAGTGCTGCACTGAAAGTCTAAATATGTGGACTTCTGTGCAGGGTGTATAAGGTTTGCAGTAAGAGGGGCAAGACCAGAAGATGACAAAATAAATGTCTCCAGTGCGAGAATGTGGTTTCCTGTCTGTTCGTATGTAGTCTTCTTGGTACCGTCCCTACTTGCACAGTACATGCCAGCCTGACCACTTCTTTGTCCTGCATGCTCTGGTGCTGTGCAGTTGTCTGCACCGTTTCTTCTCAGTACTCCACTCTGCACAGCTGTACTTGGACCACACGTGTTTACTACCTTCCCAGCCAGCAGATGGACAGCACGATAAACCCATGAATTAAAGGAGGTTTTCTTAGTGGATTTCAGTCTAGAGTCCTATTTGCTGTCATTTACGAGTTACTAACCAGACCTGCTTTCTAGACATGGGTACTTTGTGACCAGCTGGATTTTGTACAGTTACATCAACAACATATTCCCTCACAGAACATAGTATATGGAAAAAAATCATTATCAAACAGACCATTCATGCACCATCAGTGTTGCAGCAGATCGTTTGCTGGATTGGCTCAAGCTGGTAAGAGGTGATGGCACTACTGTCCCAGCAGAGTCCACCGATGTTGAGGAGTGTGATGTGTTCAGGAGCACCTGCATCCCGCTGTAGATGGACTGACAGGCTACCCTGCCATAGAACCGCAGCCATGCTCTGCTGCTCTGAGGGCATGGGAAAGTTTAGCCTCGAGGAAGGTATTTTAATTGGGGATTTCACAACATCATGTGTATCCAAGGCTATCAGTAACATGAAAAGAGCTAATTCTACTACGGCCTACTGTGCTAAGATTTGCTGTTCAAGCACCCATGAGTCTACTGTTCAATGTTAAGAGTTCGGTTAGCCTAACATCTTGCAAACCTAGGTCAAAACTCTACCCTATCAAATCACAGCATGGTTTGGGTTGGAAGGGACCTTTAAAGACAATCTAGTCCACCCCCCTTGCCACAGGCACGGATATCTTTCACTAGATCAGGTTGCTGAAAGCACCATCCAACCTGACCTTGAATGCTTCCAGGG